AATGAGACCTAGTTTATTATAATAAAAAAAAATTCAATGCATTTTGGGCTATGATTTTTAGTTTTCTTCAAAAATTATGACTTTTAGCAATTAAATTTTGCCGTCTTCACAAAATTCATCAAAGGGTCACTATTTTGTATAGTGTAAAAATTTAAATCAATTTATGTATTACTACTACTTTACAAATATTTTCCTGGACAAAATTTATATTGTTTTTTTGTTGGTCCAAGGCCCAGCCCAGCCCAGGCCGATTGCTGTTCATACCCTGACATCCCAGGCCAGGGCCTAAGATTTTAGGGTATAACCGAACTGACCACCCCATATTTCATACCAACCTAAGTTTTCATGATTGTGTAAAATGAGTTACGAGTGTCCCAACTACAGTAATCAACTAAATTGGCACCCTTATTCTCCTTAATTCTCAAAGGATATATATATTATATATACACATATATATAGAGAGAGAGAGCGAGGAGAGAGAGAATGGGTGGAGAGATGTCATGAAATCACGGGAATAGAATATGATTGCCGGTGCTTTGCTGTGCAGAGGTCATGATTCCATGTCTCCATCTCTTTAAAATTAGTATAAGAAACTCACTCCACTTGCCCTCTACCCAATTTTAGCACACTTTACCATAACATAATACACATACTCCTAGTGCCAATCCTACATTGTCCATTGAGTGTGTGTACGGATATATATATATATATATATATATATAAATCTACATTTCGCTTTGCCTTCGATCCTGGAACTACAATCACAAATGCAATTCCTATGTCACATTTTTTTATTTGGCTTTAAAGCCGACTTTCCAAAATTTTTAATTTTTATGTTATTTTCAATTTGATGGGTAACCACGGCGGCGCGGACCAAAGAGAAACGTGTATGTGTGTGTGTGTTTTTTTTTTCTAGCAATTTTAAAATGTAAAAAATAACGATATTCAGGTCTATTTGTTAGGCATACTTTAGTGAAACAATTAATATTATTGATTGTCTAGAGTGAGACTCCATTTGAGATCCTACTTCAAGTTATCAATAATTTTAGTTATTTATTTTGACAAGTAAACGCAAGAAATATATCTGAATATCATTTTTCGAATGTAAATATGAAGAAGAAGACATATTATTAGGCCTTGTAATATAAAACAACCATCTTTGCTACTAAAAATAAGACTACCTATACTAAAATCGTCTCAGACCTGATCATGACGAAAACTTTGTGCACTAAGCTAGCCCTACATATATATTGCATTAATGGAAATAATTAATCATATATCCAACTCTGTCACCAGATTTTGGTGCTCCAAATGCACTGTTGAAACTAATTCACCAACCAGCTGGTAAGAGGCATGCTCAAAATACATCCACAGACAACATTCAGTTGAAACCAATGTACTGTTTTGTTTCCATTTGTCTGTCATCATACACAAAGGTTCGTGAAAATCAATCGATTAATCCCATGTAGGAAAATATATATATATATATATATATATATTGGAATGACAGATACACAAGTGATTAGCAGACAGATTTATCACCTAATTATCAATTTGTATACTAAGATCCTAACAATAAATTAAATATGAGTTTAAGAGTTAATTAATTTGCACCTAGTTCATAGTGCCTAGAGTATGACAAAAAATAAAATAAAATAAAAAATAGTGCCTAGAGTCACCAAACCACTTACTAACCACTCGCTTAATGGTTGATTACGTTTTCATAGATGGAATTAATATTGCCCTCGGAGGTCTATTCTTGGATAAACTTTGATATATATATATATATATATATATATATATATATATATAATATGGTACAAAAGTGGATAGCTTGTCAATGTTAAAGGTCGTGTATGTGTGTGTATATATATCTATCTATCTATCTATTTATCTATCTATATAAATATAATATGGTACAAAAGTGGATAGCTTGTCAATGTTAAAGGTCATGCCCATTGAGGAATGAATTTGTCAAAATAATAATAAAAAATAAGAAAAACAAAGGAGTTGGTGATAAACTTCCATCTATATCATTTTGTTTTACTAAGTACCCCACAAAAACCAACATTTTTCCTCCTTTTTTTTTTCTTTTTTTTTTTTTTTTTTTTTTTTTTCTAAACACAAAAGCCTAAAGTCAATATATCAGTACAGATGCATAAAGTTAAACCAGAAAAGAAGGCTCCAGATTTGTGGAGGAAACAGAACCCAACACTCTGAAATAAAACCACCATGGGAGAACGCAGTAAACAGGAGAGACCGAAAAGTCTGGTCATCAGCACGGCAACCGTTCTAAAGTTACAACCACAAAGCGCTCCAACATCCAAAAAAACTCTGCACAAGATCAAATCAAAGAGAAAAAGATTAAATCGAGGCAGGAAAAACCAAAACAGACTTAAATCAGAGATCTAGTCAAAGAAAACAACAAATCCGTCCATGTGATCCGAAAATGAACCGAACATGAACAAATCTAGTAGAAGAAAACAAGAAAATGGCGTAAAAAAAGCTCACGGAGCACACTTATTAACTGTGACCAAGTTGTCTGTACAGGGATAATGTATTACTAAGTGTCTATCCCAAATAACAGTAAGAAAGAGACTAGAAATAGATGTACGTAATTTTCAATATTATTTTATACAAATTAGTTTCTTTCCTACACAGTCATAGCCTCATAGGCATAGTTTTCAATTCAATTTCCTATCCTCGGATGTGTGTATAGCAGCATTTGAGGCAACGAAGACTAGGGCAACAAAAGTATATCAAGCAAACAACGTAGCTCGAGCGTGAATGCTCAATTTCTATTGCTTAGTAAACGAGCGTGATTTTAAATAATATGGGACTCGCTCTTAAATATAGGTTTGTGTAGGTTCGTAGAAATTTATAAACAAGTCAAAACAATTTTTGTTATTAACAAGTCAAATTCAAGATTTTCCAAATAAATAACGATGAGCTGAGCTCGAACTCAAATGCACGATTTCTAGGCTCGTTTAGTAAATGAGTTAATCGTGAATATTATTATATTCGGCTCTTGAATATAGGCTCGTGAGGGTTGTACATGTTTATGAACCTAAGTTCATGAGTATAGGCTTGCGCAGAATTGTATAAATTCATGAATAAATCACAACGATCTTAAACACAAGCTCAAATCGAGCCTATAGACGATTTTTGTTATTAAATGGGCCAATCTTAAGATTTTCAAAATAACGACGAACCGAGACCAAGGCCAAACTCAGCTTTTCGAGTTTGTCACGATCAACCTTAACTCAACTCAGTTCATTTACAGAACGATAAAGAGGGGTGCACACCTAATTTTAAGCATCTGATTATCTCTCCACAACAAATGGCGCAAATCAAGAATACAATTGAGAAATTGACATAAATATAAACATGCACTACACACAAAATATAAAGATTTACGTTGTTCGACGTCAATTGTACGTTCCCAATCATGATCTAGACTCCCTTTCTCTCACTCTATAAATTTAGACACTAGATAATATTGGACTGGCTCAAGGGTTTAGTGATGGTAGTAAGGTAAGAGGCTGGGTTCTAATATGTCCTGATTTCGAACCCCAACACCTCATTATGATCCCTGATTTAACGATGTTGTCGTTATGGGACTAGTTATAGCGCCCTCAATTTATAACTTGGGATGAGTCTAAAAAAAGCCCTGCCGAGAAGAGTTTTGAGATTAGCGTCGGTCAAGCAAAATGTTTTCACGGATTACTTATAATAATAATGAAATGGAGAGCACATGTGAGAGATTGGTCCACATGACCATAGGCCCGCGTGACTTTACAATGATCCAAATGATTCCTCTAAACTCCATTAATAATATATGGCCTTAAACACCTGATAATCATAATTATTATTCATTCTTATGTACGTAGGTGGCAGGGAATACTCTTATAAACTAATTTCAAAAGTGAAAGATAAAAAAGTATTCTCTTTGTATAAATCGGAGTATAAACCCATCAAAGTAGAGACAATAAAGGCCCGATGATGACAGATGTCTCCACACAACTTTTTCTATTTTAAATTTTAATATACATTTTTCAATATGTACATATATATAATATCATTATTATCCCCTCAAAATTTTCAAACCTCTGCGTTAATTTTCATCATGTTATTGTCTTTAGGCCTTGAACCAAATATATGTTAACTGCAGTTGTCGTCTTTTAAAATTAAAACCCTATGACCCAAAACTTATGTGAACCCTTTAATCACTTTCTCACTAAGCATTTCTCCACCCCATGAATCAAAACTTAATTGCCTCTAGAGCATATTCCTACTTCATTCACTCAGAATTGATAATTTTCTTTTCAAAACAATTATGTTGGGTTTTTTTTTTTTTTTTATAAAAATAAAAATATAATTGTTTGGTTCAATTTTTTAAAAACAATTTTTAAGAAGATGTGAATTTTTTTTTTTCATAAAATATAATTTTTTTTCATAAAATATAATTTTTTTGTGTAATAAAAAAAACTTAACTGCACAACTACTCATATAAAACTCATGGCCTTCCCCATTTAAATTTGACTAAGAACTTCTGACATTCTCTCCCCCGCCCTAACCACACACGCTTGAATTCGCAACACCCTTGTTAGGATAAGACTGTCTTGTCTATCTAGATAGGATCCGAAAGTTTTTCTCACAAATACTTGACTTAAAACCAAATCAAAAATTAAATCTACCTTTAATATCACTTATAACCACTTATAACGGGACGACACTTATTTCTACAACCCATGACTCCCGTGGGGATGCAATGTAGGACAAGAACGTCTAAGTTTCTCACAGCAGTCTCGTGTTAAAAATAAAACCTTTATCCGTGTGTGTGTGTGTGTGTGAGAGAGAGAGAGAGAGAGAGAGAGAGATGGGCCTGTTTGTTTGTTTGAGAAGCAACAAAGGAAAACAAGTTGATTAATGTCGGTCCTACACAAGTGATCGAGTAAACCACTAAACCAAACAAAACATCGTATAGACAGAAAGAACTAGGACCAAACTTCTATCTAATTCCCACGTACGTCCTTCCTTCCCTTCTTGACCAAATTCCCTATATATATATTAATGTCAAACGTCTAGACAGACTACCTTTCAAAAAAAAAAAAAAAAAAATTTCTAGACGGAGAGAAAGATAGGACTTTAAAGTTCCATCGACAAACTAATAATCAAACAACCTCAGCCACCAGAGCCACAAATTCAAAATTCATCTTTCCTTTGAGACCATGTCCAGAATTCATCCGGCGGAGAATACACAGCAAGACTACTTGTCCATAGAGAATGGTGATCATATTAACCGGCCAAGTCCATCCGTGCTCACCGTGTGGAAGAGATCGAGCATGACTTTCCAAGGCACCGATGGATTCACAGTTTTTGATAGTCATGGAACACTGGCTTTTCGGGTTGATAACTACACCAGGAAGAGCCCTTGTAGCACCGGCGGACTCGTCCTCATGGACGGAACTGGCAAGGCTTTGCTATCACTCAAACCCCAGGTATACACACTCATTCATGCATATATTGCCAGGCTGATATCAGTTTTTATATGAATATGTATGTATATCAATTGTGTGGTATATATATATTTTTTTCATATAGAAAATATCAGTAGGCATGTCTGTATATCAGTATATACAGAGATCTGAAAATATTGAATCTAAATCTTTCTATTTATCTGGAAAAAAATATATATACATATTCCTTCATATGATCAGTATATAAAAGTAGAAAACAAAAAGGAAATTCTCGATCTCTATATATGTATATAAAAACTTTCCTACAAGTTAATGGATCTTTGTACGTACGTTATATAATATATATGTCCAGAAGAAGAGTTCATGCACATAAAACTACTGTATTGAAAATAAAAATAATGAGGTTGAAAAGAGATTTTTACACAATTAAATCTTTGTTTCTAACACATTTTTTTCTAAATTTCAAACGCATAGACATATATATGTTGAAATGTGTGGAAATATAGAACAAATGTTTGAATTAAGTTAAATTATGATACAAATTAATTAATTTAACATGAACTGCAGATATTGAGCATGCAACTTCAATGGAATGCGTATAGAGGAGGAGAAGATGAATGTGGTAAAAGTAGTCGATTATTCGCGATGAGAAGACCAATCTCTCTGATCAACAATAGTAGCAAATATGAAGCAGAAATCTTCATCGGAGGTCCGACAAAGGGAAGCCAACCCACACCAGATTTCAGGATAGAGGGCTCGTTTGCGAGGCGAAATTGCAAGATCATCAAGACAAGTACAAGTAGTCCCAGTGGCCAAGTACTGGTGGCAAAGATATCGAGGAAGAAGGTAAACAAGACTGTAATGTTGAACGACGACGTTTTCAGCCTGCAAGTACAGCCCGGATTCGATCTTCAGCTTATTATGGCCTTTGTAGTCGTCTTGGATCGAATCTGTCGCAAGCCTTTTGCACCTGTTTTGTGCTCTTGAAACACTACTGTCAATTCTATCTTGTACACAAATCTTTTCCAATTTTCCTAATAAGGCTCTCAATTTCTTTGTATCTAAATAATATTTACGCTTTTTTGTGAAAAATTAAAATTAAGCTCAGCTGTGTGATGCAATCCATATGGGTCCTACTTCATTTCATTTCATGGGTGAAATGAGTTAGGTTAATCATTTCGGCTTGCTTTATATTGGGTAGTTAGGTGTTCCTCTCCGATTAACGAGCTGGACCCATAACCTTGCTGTCAATCATGGACTGCCATGTTCTATAATTAAAGTGATAGGGAGTTGGATGGATTCAGTTGGATCGAGGAGGTCCAACCATTGGATCCGATTAACCTAGTTACCACTTTTTTTCTAGTTTTTGCAGATGTTGCACCCATTCTTGAACATCTCCTTGTTTTTTTTTATCATAAAGGATTCCATTTCGGAAAATTTATGTTGGGTTGGAAAGATGGATTGAGAAAAAGAATGAAAAAGAAGATTCTCTTGTTTAGTTGGAGATTTGTAGTGAAGGAAGCAAGGAGATATAAAATATCATCTTTAACTCACATTTTTTCATCCACCCAAACGGGAAGTGGAAGAGAGAAAGATTAAAAATAAATAAAATTTAATTTATAAATATAAAATACAACTTTTAACTTAAAATTATCTATAAAATCATAAAAATTTTCATTCTCTTTCTTCTAACCAAACAAAATAAAGTATCACATTATCAATCCTTTCCATTATCTCTTTTATTCAACTAAACAAAAAATCATCCTTCCAATCATCCATCCCCCCTCTTTCTCTCTCCTTTCTATTCATTTTTCTATCTCTCATACCAAACAACGGCTTTTTGGATTGAACGAGTTTATGATACTTATATTGAGTATAGAACCGGGTTGGAGAAAAAAGAGGACGACCCAATGGGATGGAGAAACATTCTTGAAAAAGAAATATAACTATAACTATTGGTTTGACAATTGAGAGCTACATTGACAATTTTGATCCGACTGTAGGGAACTAGGACAACATTCTTGAAAAGGAAACCCGTGCTACAGCTATTTGGTTGACATTTGAGAGCTACATTCATAATTTTGATCCGACCACATACCAACATTCACATTTTCACCATTCATTTTTATATAGAATCATCTAGATCCATCACTTGACGCCTCCATTTTTCAACACTAATAATTCGTATATCTCTTAATTTTAGTCGGGTACACCACCCCTCATCTACTCCACATTTCTCTCCTCCATGACACACAAAATACATACCCACACGTATAAGATGAATTTATCCACAAATCAACCTTTACTTACCAACAAAAATAATTAATTAATTAATTAAACCAAGTCCCAACCACACATGCCTAGCCTCATGAACATTTTTCATAAGCAAGTTTTAACACTTAATTGTTTTTATAATAAACAGGTATTATAAATAAAAAATAATAAACAATTTTTATTTTTATTTTTATTTTTTTTCCCCCTTCTCAATCCTTGATTTCATAATAGAGTTTAAACTCAAGCTCGAGAACAGGCTTGAGTCTCAGGTCAAAATAGGCAAAGCGAGTCAAATTCAAGCGCTGTGTGTGCGCCTGGTTACGAGAGAGACGTGACATTATGCTACAAATGGTTAACAACCACTGTTTTAGCAATCATCCTGAGAAAACTTATCGACGCTACACTAAAATAAAAATAATACTAATAATCTAAGCAAATTACCGATCATAGTGTCCTAAAAAGAATTCAAAAAAATCATCTAATTTTTCCTGATTTTTCAGACCTTGCGACTCTCATTCCTAATACAACATTTTATATTAGGCATTGCAAGTTTCTCTTCTTTCAGAAAACATAACTAGGATACAAATAAACAAGAAGTTTCTCTCTATATATATTGGATATATAACCCGCAATATAATGCGGATAGATATATTCTCTTACAGAGACAAAAAGCCAACTATCATGTAATCTGTCTGCTATGATCATGCTTTTTTACTCAAAAGTGGTTTTACTAATACTCAATTCTAAAAAAGAGAATAAAAAATACAAATACAAATATTTGTGTTAGCAAAATGATCTCGACCACGTGCTATCACCTGCCCTACTGCAGTAACCTGTGATGGAATGTAAAGGAATAAAACCGTCCATATTCTTCAAAATCAAATGGCTAAGAAGATACATACTGAACAGATTGCTCATGAATGTACTCAACATCTTCTGAAGCCAATTAATCACCAGACACAAAAGCCTTATCCTCATAATATCTTCTCTCACTTTCTGACTTCCTCTCATTGCGTTTCTGAATAAAAAATAAAATGTGCTCCAGTTAGCTTCAATCCCAATATACCAAAGGCAAGTCAAAGAAATTGTAGCTTTTTCTTCAACTAGTATTTAAAAACTCAAAACTCTTTGATTATTGGGCATCATATCACAAGCATGAAGATTCTCGGTGCAGCCAAGCACCATAAACCCAGCTGGTCCACAACACTACCTAAACATTGATAAATATCCATTTTCAAATTCTTTATTTTGTTCTTCTTTTTTTAAATAAAAATAAAAAAATTATTTACCTGGACAAGAAACTCACACACACACTTTGCCTCTGTGAGGACTTGAACCCTTGCCCTTCCACTTTGGAAAGTGAGGAAGTACCACTAGGCCACTGCCCTCTGGTCATTTTCAATTTCACATATGACATTTGTCATTTAGCTTACTTCCGCACTCCCTATAACTACATGTCCATGTAGTACATCTAATGATCATTGTAGGGTCTCATAGGGTCTCAAAATTTATAGGAAACTTTGGTTTCATCAAATTCAAAGAAACGGACGATCATAGCATATTTCGGAATGAAGAATAACCTGATACGCCTCGTGATTTGATACAATCCTCCGTATAATTGTAGTAGTTGTGATATCCAGAGGACTTTCCAACAGTTTAAAGATACCCATACTGATTGGAACATCATATGGGGTTTGGTTTTCCTGTAAGACAAACAATATGTCAGTAACCAGCAAAAAATCATCGTGCTCGGTATCAAAAATTATCATACCAATATCACAAAAAGCAACTAATCTCACACCACCACCTGAAAATTATCTTCTGCTACTGTCCCATGGACTACTAAAGAGATATTGAAGGTTGTAATCTGCAGTGACAAGAATTTCCAATATGTTAAAAATTGGAATAACATACACATATAATGTAACATGCCACGTCAAGCAAAATGAACTCCAAAATGGTCATGTCAAAACAATAAAGCCTAATGTAAATTTTAGACATGAATTGATCCAGATATTGTACAAGGCAGAAAACAGTCGACATATTCCTTTGTCAGACTTATGACATTAACACTGCATCTGAATTATGGGAGTAGGAGGAAAACAAGAGGACAAAGAAAGAGAAGTTAATTCCTTGAATAGTGTTTTGGCTATCTACCAAAGTAGGACGATTTGGAAGGAAAGAATAGGAAGGTTATTACACTTGATGCACTATTTTTTAAACCGAGTAAATTCCTATTTTGCTCTTACCACTCACAAATAAAACAATCCTTATTTTTTCTCCACTCTCTTTTTCCAAAAACGATGAAGGGTATCCACTATTATTTTCTTTCCTTTCCCTCCTTAATTATTATTATTATTTTTTCCTAGTTACCTCCTTAATTATTCAAACACAAGGGGAGGTTAACACTATCCGATCCTCCACTTTCTTTTCTCTCATGAATAATATTATCCTCTTCTTTTCTTTCCCTCCTAAAAAACGCACTAAATTCAAACGCACATGTCATTTTGCAACTTCTGTAAACATGAATTGAGATCAAATACTTTCCTAGAGGACGGCGGTGGAGTTTCTAGTAAGAACAACCAAATATAAAGTGCTCTACATGGGCTTTTGCCCTCTTCTTTTGTTCAATAAAATTTTGTATATTCATCAAAAATAAAATTACAAGGAAGCTAAAAGTATCTATCTGCACATTCTCTACAAGGGCTTCAAGGCCAGTATAGCACTGATGTGTAATGGTTGCAAAACACATCCTATGAATCACCTGAGGGTGAAGAGCAGATCCCTTCAAATCTTGAAAATTGACTCCACTAACACGTTTACTCTTAGCTGTTGTATGCCATTGATACGACCAATTTAATGTATCATGGTTTATATTAAGGTAAAGAAACTAGAAGTCATTCAATTAAGAAGTGCAAACAGAAAGGACAAAAGGACACCTATAAACAGAGAACCAGAAAACACAAGGACAGTTTATTTTTATTTTTTAACTTTTTAAAAAATAATAAATAAATAAAAATAACAGCGGTTTCAACTATCTTAAACCCCCTGCTGTTTCTAATGTGTCACACAAAATAGGATAATGTGTCATCAAGGCCTTCCACATTCACAAAATTCATCAAAGATTAATGTCCTCAACTGACCGGAGAATTAAGGCCACAACACCTCCTCACTATAACTATAAATGATGCCATACATCACATGAGGAAAGAGGTCTGTTAAGTTTTTCAAATTGTAGCATAATAACAAAAGTAAATAAATATGTTCTAGTACAAGAGAAAAAGCAACAAAAAATGGCACAAAATCCTTAATTGGAACATACCACGGCCAATGTGGTTAGCTGAACCCAAGTAAGATCCCAAATTATTAATACCCCGGTCTGACTACTGTGCAATAGTCCACTCAGTATCACACTAATCTACTTGCTTGATATTATTTCTTAATACTGATTAGTTGGTATTTATTGTAACTATATTTGATTAAATTTTCTTGAAAGATCAGTGGCTTGATTAGAAGTTCAATTGAGATCGCTAACTTATTATGTTTGTCACAACCCGCCCACCTAGTGTAGATCTTGTCCGCTTTGCACATTCCCTCTAAGTGCTCACGGTTTTCCTCAAAACGCATCTACACAATTACGGGGTGTCCACACGTATAAGTAACCACACCCGCTCCACCCAGCAACGTGGGACGTCACAATCACCCTCTCTTGGGACCCAACATCCTCACTAGTGTAAGCCTCAAGGGCTTGTGCACGCTCCCCCATTTCCGGCTGGAGATTGACTCTTATACCATCTGTCACGACCCACCCACCCCGTGTAGATATTGTCCGCGTTGCACACTACCCTCTCGGTGCTCCAAGTTTTCCTCAAAACACATCTACACAATTAGGGTACCCGTCCACACATATAAGTGCCAACAAAAGCTCCCCCCACGCGGTGTGGGACGTCACAATGTTCATCACATTCCTGTACCATGGATTCAGTTCGTGAAACACCTACCATTCCTACCCAATCCTGAAGATCAATTTATGCATTCAGTATGTGTCAGCAATAAAATATTACAACCACCTACTACAATTGAACTTTTCTTCTAGCAACTTTCTGCATCCCAGCTTAGTCAATCCCATATGAATAATGAGCAACTGCATAAGTAATGCAGATGACTCAAATCTCAGCTCAAAATAAGTCAAAAGTGAACCTAATTTTTTTTTTTTTTGATAAGTAAATTTTATTGAAGAACCGCTCAAAAGGGGAGCGGGTCCCAAGTACAAAAAAACAGGGCCAAAATGCCTCAAGCCTAAATTTGCCAGTAGTCATAAATATAAAAATAAACTAACCAACATTCTAACCCAAAATAAACATAAATAAGATTTATTTTGGGAGGGTAACAGAAATAGGATTTGACTAAGGATAAAACATAATAATGCAAGGGCCTCCATGGGGCTATTCTTGAAATGAATCCAATTTTTTTTAAAAAAATCCTTCTTTCAATTTGTTTTTCCTTATGCCTCTTATGGACTGCATCACCTAGCCAAAGATTTGACAATTTAAACAAATCAAATCTTGTCTTAGAATATGTTTATTTTAATTCAGATTTTAAGAATTCCCAATTTGCAAAATAAATTAATGACGACAGTTTTTAAGCTCAAAATAGAAAAACAATAAATTTTAAAAAGATACGTACTTAGAATAACTTTATAAAACTAGGATCCCAAACTCTTATCAAAGTTGCCACCAATCCGCAACTTAGGACTTCACTGTACTTACACATTATATGGCCTCATGTTATGAATGAAATAACTTGGCTAGCATAACTACAATAACATATAACTGGAGAGTGTTGATCTTTCAAAAAAACCAATGTGATAGCCACAATCCTGGTGTATTGTTGTTGACAGTTTCAATCCTCCACTAGAGCACATGACGACTCTCTTGTGGTGATTTTGAACTGGATCATCGCATTGTCTTCAGAGAGCAGAGATGATGAACAAAGGCAGTGTCAGTATTATCTTATGTTTTTCAACATGTAAGCCGTGCCATCTAACAATGATATGCTTGTTGCAACTTGCATCTCTTTCTCCAATATTCTAAAACCCATTATTTACTGAATATAACGCAGATTCTCTAATCTCTATAAATATTTTACTTCTTGAATCAATCAACATCAATACCGACATCATAAAATATCAGAAAAATGAAATCTCTAAAAGAGGGAATAAAAGAAATTAGGAAATATAATTTATAAAATACTAGAAAAATATAGACTAACCATGTCTTTTGAAATTTCCAGGGGGCAGCCAATTATCACCTCATCTACGTAACGGCAAGCCAAGACGCTTAAGCTCCTTTCATGAAGATTCATAATTGGGCGGTGTGCTCCTCTATTAGCACTGTACAAGACATCAGACAACGAAATATAATGCATAAGGATTCTTCTTCTAACAAGAGAAAAACCAAACTGGCATCAAAGCAAACAGGTTCTGGTCGACTTTAATCATTTGCTCGTGAATTGATATCCAAAAGAAAAGAAATTCACATCTCTACTAGAAGCCAAATAAAAGCAAAATCATCTGCACTGAAGATTGGACTTGCTAGCAAAAAAATACACTCATAAGGCATAACCATTGCATCAACAGTAGATCAAAGTGCAACTGCATCTGGACATGTGTGTACAAATATTTAAACACAAAGTGCTTACATCACTCACTTCAATAAACAAATCCAGATAATATTAATAATGACTATGAAGATGATTTGAATGGACAGAGTAGTAACCATAGCAACGAGGCAAATGGTTAAAGGCCATGCTCTAACATGCAACGTCAGCATGTTGAAAGTAACTTTTGGCAAAGCATGGACACGGTTACGAGATACGGACATGACAAGCTACATGTAAGTGATGTGACAAATTCTTGGAAATTAGGATACAGATAAGGGTTGGACAAGAAAAATATATATGCTATATGTATATACATTGTATATGTAGATTGACAAAAAATTATGTATGTATGTATCTATTAATAAATTTAATATAATAATTGACTAACATGTTAATATAATATAACAAACATTTCCTTATCAAAAAAATTTTAAAAAAAAACTAGAGTTATGTTGCATAGACGTAAACTATGGACTAAATTAGAAACGATATATTATCATTTTATCTATATTATTATTTTGTGAAATAAATCTAAATATTTGGACTTCCTTAACAATTATATTATACTATTATACTCAGAAAAGTTCAATTGATGTTCAAGACTTGTCAGACATGTTTCTTGAGTATCTGAAATTATGAGATATGTGGTTAAAGTATTAGAGAAGTATCGGATAAGTGTTCAAAATTGAAAAAATAAATAAATTTCAAATTATGGCTACTTTTAGAAAGTATCACACGTATCAGTCAGTATCCAACAAGTATCAGTATCTGACAAGGATATACCAGTACGGCCCCCTTATACAAATATTCATGCTCATAGTCTTTGGCACATAAAAGAGTTTGATTAACAAAAGTAAGCATATCTTCCAGCCAGTGAAACTTTACACTCCTCTCTTCTTTCTTACTTGCATAACTTTTCAACGCTTTACGCATTTTAGATCATATAAAAAAACAAGAAATAAATTTATTGACCAACCTTCTTTATGTGGTATTTTTTACAACTCAAAACTCATGCAAGTAAACAGGGAAAAAAAAAAAACGTGCAGGAATTTTGAGAGATGGAGAAAGATAAAGAGGAAGTTTGCAACCTGACAGTTTGATCTGGGTGAATCCCAACAAGTAAAAAATCTCCAAGGCCCCTGGCAAGCCTCAATATCTGTACATCACAAATGAAGAGTCAACACAAGTTATAGAAATTCATAAGACAAAACATAAACACGCAATTAACCCCCACCCCACCCCAAAAAAAAAAAAAAAACACACACACACTACCACTATAAAATTAGGAGTGAAAATAATCACGCAGTTTAAAATGATAATTGTGTACATAGGTTTTGCAAAAATGAGAGTCAGATTGGTGCAGCAGCCAATTACAACCATGGCATTTAACATGGAAATTTTATTCAACATAGAGATTAAAAACAACCAAAGGGAATTGTGCAAGTTGGAGTATTCCATCAGTCTAGACCGTTAACTTAATCAATCATTCATCCATAAGCATGTAAAAGTGCATAAGAATACTACATACCTCAACATGTCCAGCATGAAAAAGATCAAATGCACCATCTATATAAACTATGCGAGCATCTGGTCCGGGCCCCTAGATTAAAAGCAAAAGAATTGTCAAGGATCACAAGGTAATCATCGACAACAATATTTTAACAAAAGAACCAACTCAATCCAACTCAACAATGCTTTATCCAACTAATTGGGGTCAGCTACATGAATTTGTTTCACCATTGCACTCTATATAGCCAGTAGTCATAAAAATATATATAATAAAAATAAAAAAATAAGTAAAAATTTGAAAAAAGAAAAAGAAAAAAAATGAAAAAAATAAAAAAGAAAAGAAAAACCATAGAGAAGGAGATCTTACCAAAGGACAAGAGAAAAATATACAAACGACTATAAAGAAATAAAAACAGAGAGATTTAATAACACCAACTTTGACATACATAGATATAAAAGACACTCAAAAGGCACCAGTTTGAAAAGGGGGAGAAAATCAATAAGAACAATCTAGAGGTTTTGCATATATATGTTTTTGGTTAGAAGAGGAGGGAGAGAGAGAGAGAATAAAATGGCTCCTCTTTTGAGTGTTGTGTGATCGTAGAGTTCAGGCCAAGCCAAAAGGAGTGTTCGGTGAAACAGTTCCAAGGCCAGCCATGTTGTATGAAAAGAAATGTTGTGCAGTTAATAAACATGTATAGAAAATAAATACAATTGAAATGAGAATGTTGAGATTGATGAGAGGAGATAAAAAGAAAATATAGACTAAAACCGAACCCATCTGTGAAAAGTAGAAATACCAATTGAAGGGGGAAAATGAGTGAAAATCATTTAAGAGGTTTGGCTATGAACAACATAGACCACCTAATGCAACGGTATGGAGGAGTGATTTTATCTAAGTTGGAGGTGTTAAAAGGGCGAGGAACACGGAAAGGAACTTGGGTTGAAGCTGTGGTAGAGGACATTTCTGCTGGATTGTACTCAGGATGTGGCTTTACAAAAACACAAAACATAAGTAGAAGCCTTCCCATGTTCCCCTTCAAGAAAAACTTTCAAATTTAGTCCAATTCATTAAAGTATAGATATTTTGCAAGTTAGGTTTAAATTAAATGGCCAAATAAACCGAGTTTTGTAAATAGATATTTCACATCTAAAAGTTCCAAACCATCTATATGACTCAGTGTGTGTATATAAATGAGCTTCCGAGCTGCAGAATCCCAATAACATCCATAAAACTCATTACTTCACAAAAAGGCCCTACAGAGCTCGTATAAGCACTTTTGATACATTAATGCTCAAGGTGATGCAGCAACAACATAAAAATCACCAAATAACATAATTATGCTCTGATGTGAGCCATATATAAACTAGCAATTGATGATAACAATGATTGCTATATTACAACTACAAAATGTTAGTCTTTCCAGCTTCTGAGAATTTATGTAATCTCCCAGAAAGTCATCAAGGATGTTTTCATTCGCTATTTCTTCCTAACCCATCAGGCGGATCTGTAATATACATGCAAAATTTCCACCTCTATGTCAGGCCTACCTTCAGGTAGATAAGAAATTAAATTAATAGGCTTACAGGATTCGACCTGATGAAGAATCTCAAAAAGACTTCCACCCCTAGTTCTTATTGAATATTGAGAAAACAACTTTCCACAAGTTCAGCCTTTGGATAATCAATTTTATTGAATTACTTGATCACCAACATGCATCTAATATGTCTCCTCAAATTTGATCCACAGTCAGATGTCAACAAAAAATTGGGAAAATAAAAGGCCAGAATGTTAAACCCAAGGAGAATTGCACTCAGAAACAAAATAACATGTTAGACGTCCAAAATGGACAACTTCCACAGCTACAAAAGAAGCACCAAGCACTTTTCAACTCCATGCATCTCCTCTCTTGTTCGCAAGATAGGAATAATGCTTCAGACTGAAAGCATTATCTTAGAAGTAAACGCCCCAGTAGACATGTGATGTAGAATAGACTAAGCAAATAGAAGCCATATTAGTCATCTTTTTAACTTTAAAAGTAGATAACTAACCTCTCCTCACGTTGAGAAGAGAGACATTTAATTTGTAATACTTATCAAATTCTTCATTAGATATTTCACCAAATATAAGATCGCATTAACAATCTTCTGACACTATCTTCCTTCTAATATTCATTCTGACATGAAAATCTCTCTTTGGACATTGATAAGCATCATAATCAAAGAAAAAACACATTGTTGAGTGGGAGTGAATTACACAATTCATTAGAAAATTGCACACACAGAATTGCATTAGAGAATTGCACATAGAGTATTTTAAGGACTATCTAAGTAATAGGCACCTTCCCATTAGAGAATTGCACAATTCTGCGAGATGTAGGCAGAAAATGAGAAATGCGAGTTCCAGATCCGCCATCTTCAGATTTTTGGCTGTGACCATGGCTGAATTGTCTTTGCAGAGAAGAATGATTACTGCTGTCACTAGTTGACCTCTCTCTCACACAAAGAAGCATACGACCTGTTCAAAACATTATCAAAATTCAAGTACATGCCATTAGTTTTGAAATCTTTAGCAGCATACGTGAGTTCATTTTATAAAAGTTGACCAAAATGAAGAATAAGTATTCCAGTGTGCAAAATAGCTTCTGCTGGGATGCCTATATAAGAGAAACAAGGTGAATTTTGCTTATAATACAATATTATCACTATCATTGCAAAAAGACACAACAAGGATGCTAAAATCATCATCCAAACCCCCCACCACCAACAAAAATAACAATAATAATAAACAGTTCACTGCTTAAGTTCTCTATTATTTGGTGGTGCATTTGGCTTAAGAGGAATCGGAGATATTTTGATGGAAAGGAGAAACCTGTTTCTATGCTTAAGTTCTCTATTATTTCCACTCTTTTTTGTTGGATCTAAGGGAGAGATTCTAGATCTTTAGAGGAGATTTTTGTTTTTTTGGCCTCTTTGAAGGTTTGAGGTGCCTTTGGCCCTCGTGTTTCTTGGGTTTCTGCTCCCCTTTTGAGCTCTTTCAATAAAATATTACTTATCAAAAAAATAATAATAAACAGTTCACTGCCAAGCCATTAAAACATATGAACAAGAGCATAATATATACCAACAATGTCAGTGCTTGAGACTCCTTCTGTGCGTTTGATCTGCTTATATCGTCCAGCCTTCTTAGCAAGGGCATAAGCGTCGGTTCCATCAGGGAGAATACACGGATCATCCCCATGAATAATATAATCTATATCATACTCATCAAATAGCTTCTTCATAAAATCTTCAGTTATAGCATAAGGTGCATCAGAAATGACCTCGTCCACCCACTTCACAGCACTGACCATAATCATCCTATAACAGAATTACCAAACACATATGTTATTTGCTTACTGGTCCAATAGAACGCTTCCATTTTGGCAAGGGTAACTGCATAATTTATCAAGCAAATGGAATCAAGCCAAACAATATGAATAGCATCACATGGAAAGATAAGCTATAGATAGAGCTCTAGTATTTCAATAACAAACAAAGACAACGTTGTCGTCGTCATCCTTGCCTAATCCCATATAAATGGGATCGGTCACATTAATTCTCTTGTTCCATTCATCTCTATTACAAGCCAAAACAAAGACAACATATATATTTAATATTTGAAAATGTAAACATATTGTAGCAAATCCCTCTATTTATGAAATATTATTTTTATACTAGTTAATATCTCCATTTAAGGTATAAAAGTGGGCACAATTCTCTCATTCACTTTAAAAGAAACAGATGAAGCCATCAAACTAGATCCAATAACTTAGATCAACACCTTGCTCCCCCTAATTCCCCGGGTGATGGAAACAAACAAATGAATCAGACACATCAGGTGCTTGAGAAACGATTAAAATGGAGGGAAGCAACAACGAGAAAAGCCCCAAATAAATGATAACCAATAGCTGCCAATAAATAATATTTTGACTAACACCTAGGATCTAGCTCTAGTGGTATCTCCTCCTCCTCTCATGTGGGAGGTTGAAGGTTCAAGTTCTACATGGGGCAGTAGTGGATGTGTAAGCGTGTTGGGTGCATGCGTTTCTCGAAAAAAAATTACTAAAAATAGTTGTCATTCCAGTACATAGAAAGACGATGGGAGTCATTCCATAGGTTAGTTTCTTTCTCCCATTATTTCAATGCCCCGTTAGAATAGCTAAGCCCGCCTCGTTCATCCAGTCCCATCATCATATTGATGATAAATCTCCTCGTGCTCTGCCATAAGAACTTGGAGTCCATATCATGGTGAAGTGTTCCCTCCCCAGGCCAGAAAACATTAATCTAGTACGTGATGGACCAAAAAGTTCTCAAAGAAAAAATACAGTCTGGTTGAACCAGAAAGACTATACAGATGAACCGTGTGGCTCAATAAGGTGTAAACCCACACTGGTTTCCAAGTCTCGTCATGTTCTCTCCTTTCCTTTCCATTCGCACATTCCGATATGTCTTTTAAAAACCAGACAGGAGTGCAATATTATAAAAGGTATCACTTATCAAATTTAAAAAGATATACACATATATACATTTAGAAAGTAAACAAGTGCAAATCAGCTTTCTAAATTAACACTGGATGCAAGAGCCCCTGGTGTCTTTAAAAGTATAGCTGCTTGTTTATGGTACTTGTATCCTTTCGAGGTGTACTTTGTTTTATCTTTGAATTTAGGATTCATGGTTCATGTCAAACCCCTCCTGCCAAATGATGAAAGCTATGTATAGAGAGAGCAAGAAATATACAATTCATCATTCAGGAGAACAATGTAAATAAGGATGTGTCATGATCAACAAAACCCAGAAAAAAAAAATGCAATTAGTTACAATTAATCCAGCAACAAATTCAATAAGCCATAACAGAAGGATTTGATGAACAGATTCTAGTGGATTAAGAAACAACAACAAAAAATGAATACATATTGCAAATACATCTTAACCTACAACGACCACATCAAACAAATAAACAATAAGGTATGTATTAATTGACTCTTTCTTGTTCTAAGAGAATAAAAAGGCAAAAAGAAAACTCCCATCATGAGCAGATCCGTAAACGACAATGTGATTCATATTCACAACAACATATATATACACCCATATAGAGAGAGGACTTAAACAGAAATGAAATGATATCAAAATAGAATTGAGGCAGAGAAAGAGACCTCTCGTGAAGAGGAGTAACGGGAGGGCCTTTGTTAGCAGTGATTTCGGCGTCACTAACGACTCCGACAACCAATTGGTCGCCGAGGGCTCGAGCCTGACGGAGGGCGTTGCAGTGGCCGTAGTGCATCATGTCGAAGCAACCATCCATGTACACCCTTACCGGCCTCTTCTTCTTCTTCCTCCTCCATAACCCTAACTGAGACTGCGGTGACACAAAGTATAATCCCAGAATCGATGCCCCTAAAATCACACCTCCGATCAACCACGTTGCCACATACCTCGAACTACTCTGAAAATTCTCCGAGTGCCCTAGCTCTGAACCCATCGTTCCTGCAAATTTTCGGAGTACCACACTACAATGTGAACATATATATATATATATATATAGATAGATAGAGATAGAGATAGAGATAGAGAGAGACGTTATAGGCTATTGATGGGAGTCATGGGGTTTCCAGATGATGATATTCGGCTACCCATTTGCAGCTACTGTGCGGATCGCTTCTGTTTTTCTATTTTACATTTCTCGTTCTTGCTTTTTCTTTTTTTTCCCTTTCTTTGCCGATTTTATCCTCCCGCGTTTGCCTGGCACCCCAAGGGCCTAGGGCTTTGGTTGGAATTTTTATTTTTATTACATCATCCGCGACAAAATGAGAGGCATGAAGGTTTAGCATAGAAGCAATTTATTTTTGATAATAATGTTTAGTATTATATTTTTTAAGATTTCTATTTTTGGAAATTTTTGTCCATTTTTATTTTGAAATAAAACAATCCAGAACTTTGAAATGTGTGTTATAATTCAGTTCTTGTTAGTTATGAGTAGCTTTTAATCCTTCTTATCTTGTAAAAATAAAAAAATAAGTAGCATTTTATCATTATAAAATTTCATAAGCACTCTCAGTTAAATTTTGGAGCATTAATAAAACTTCTATATCATTGTCATTGATATCATAATTTGCAATGGCAATATCAGGTGTAATAAATTTTGGCAATTAAATTTTTATAAAAAATTATAAACTAACTAATACATTGCATATTGATCAATACAACAAGTAATAGACACATAAAATTTAAATAAATAAACTACCTATAGTGATGGACTCATGCCATATAATATACGAGTTTTGGATCCACGTTTTCATTGTTTTGGTACATTATAATACGAGTATATAATATACCATTGAAGTGTCAAAGCAGTTTTTGGACTCTTCAAAATAAAATAAAAAAATAGTATCACCAAAGACTGTTGTCGTACTTTCTTGACTTCAAAAGTAAAAAACTTCTACCAATGTGTTTCTTACTAATGTGTGTATATATATAAAATATTTAAAATGGGTGTTGGCATTCAAGGATTGAGTGACTGACTTACATAATTGCATTTTGCAACAAACAAACAAAAAAATAAATAAATTAAAGAGAGGATAGAATTTGAATGTGAATGGAGTAAAATAAAAAATTATACACATTTGTATATTAGGAAAATAGATGTGTGATTTATATGACAAATGATTTGTTGGGTCTTAAGTCACATAAATTTTTTTAAATAGATATTATTTATGTGTTCTCATTTTTATATTTTACATTAACTTTACTTTGTATGGTTTAAATTTTGTCCTCCTTACTTTTGCTTCTGTTTTGTAACGTAGGTTAAGTCGTAAGCGGAAGTGCGAAAATATACAAAATTTAATAAGATAAAGGTATATACGAACCTGAGAACAACGTCTGTTTAGAAAAATGGTGACTTATGCCCTTCAAAACGAAAACACTAATAAATTACAAAGAGACTAATCAATTAGAATAAATTGTAGAACATTGTAGAACATTCGGAAGGAAAATGTTAAGAGTAACGATTTTCATCTTCACAAAATATGACAAATAATGTGACCTGTGTTAATAAAGTCATGGTCAATTTGAAATAGACAGAATCTGACATGATTTTTATGCCTCTCGTAATGATGAGAAAAAATATATATATCTAATGATTCTTTGAAAAAAAAAAAATTTCCAAAGAGGAAAGAAACTTTATTCAAGAACAACATTAGGGACAACTTGCCATTCTCATTTTCTTTTTCAAATGGTTTGAATATTGTATGCAAAAACTATTTTAGAACTAGAGGGGTTAAACATGTAAAATAATAGACATTATAAAAAATAGGGTAAGGTGCAAAAACTCTCTTGAATTATGTTTGAATTTATAAATAACCCTCTTGAATTATATTTTGTGCATAAAACCTCATAAATTATCTCATTTATTGCAACATACCCTAAGGACTATACTATATTTCATTAAATGATCATAATGTCCCTTCTTATTGAATTACATAATATGTTTTTCTTATCTAAATAAATTATGAAAAATTCATACTAATTTGATGAGATATTTTCTATTAAATTTGTAAAAATTTACCTTTAATTTTTTAATTAATTATTTTAAAAAAAATTAGTATAAATTTTTTTTCAAAAATTAATTAATTTTTTAATTTTTAATGAATATATTACATGAAAAGAAGGTATTTTTTTAAAAGTATTTTATTAAAGTTTCATCAATATATTGTATTGAAAAAATGATAATTTTTTTTACAATAAAAATGTTTAAATTGGTAATAATACGTTTTATTATAAATAATAAAGTTTTAGTAATAAGTTAATCAATTTAGAAAATGGTAGTTACAAACCTATTTATCTTTTTTTTTTCATTTTTATGATAAATTGATACTAAAAATAAAATGAAGCTAAATAGTATAATTAATATTTACATAAGAGAAAAGATAATAAAAATAATTTAATAAGAAATGAAAATTGTAATGAGAAAGGGTAATATAGTCTTTTGTGATGAATTTGTCCTTAATTGCAATAAATCAATAATTCAGGGGAGCGATTTTTAGTTCAGGGAGGTTATTTGCAAAAAAATAATAATTTAGGGGGGTTTTTTACACTTAACCCTAAAAAATAAATATATGAATAATTATAAATTGAATTAGAAAGGTAGATAAACTGCATGAACCAATAGACATTAAACAAGTATTTTTTTTCGTGGTAAGATTGGAGAGGATAGGTGAGTCGAAACCGAACTCCCACACAATTTAAGGGTGCCTCTACCACCTGGATGGTCCAATTTATCTCAATGTATCTAGATAAATAAAAATAAGGGTTAAATGCCCAAAAAAAAAAAAAAAAAAAAAAAAAAAAAAAAAAAAACTATTAGCTAATTAACAACAAACCCCCCGAACTATACATTTTTGTTGCATATGACTCCATTCGACGTTGAAACTCACCGCTAAAATATGGCGTACGATCATATGACCCATAATATTTAATTTAAAGATTATAATACCCTTATAAACATGAAAATACTATATTGCCACAAACACACCATCTTCTTGCTACTACACCCAAACACGCCCTTGGAACCACTATTCATCTTCTTCACACATTTTTTACAAGAAAAAGAAATTGCCGGCCTGAACCGCTCTCTCTCCCTCCCTCTATTTGTGCGCACACACACAAATATATATCTCTTTCACAACCTCTTGGGTTGTGCTTGTGTAATTATGCATTTGTACATTGTCCAGAGAATCGAAGAAATCAGAAGCGACGTTTAAAGCTATGAGCTTCAATACTTGGCCGAATCGGTTTGAATGAAATAGAGGGTTTGAAATCCAAATTCAAAAGTGACCCAAAATTCCTCGCCGAAACCCTAACTTCCTCTTCACCATCACAGGCCGCTACTTACCGCCCTAATCTCTCCACGGCCGAGCCAACATCTAAGCTCTCCACAGCTGCCCGATTCTAGACCCACCGCCCATCATCGGATCTGTCTCACACATACACAGCCGCGCTTCATCACAAGCTGTCATCGTCACCGCTGTACCAGTCACTAAGTATCACCGCCTCACCGAAATCACTACTTCTTTAGTCGTTGATTCGCTGTCGTCGCCACCTTTACGCCTGCCCGCCCATCGCCATGTCTATCTCACCGGTGCACTACCAAAGTTTCCTCATCTTTTTCAGCCGCCAAGCTCTCAGCATCACAGCCCGCTGCTCACCACCCTAAGCTCTCCACGGCCGAGTCAACATCCGGGCTCTCCACAGCCAGCCGATTCTAAACCCACCGCCCATTACCAGATCTGTCTCACTGGTGCACAGCCGCGCTTCATCATAAGTCACCGTTGTCACCGAGTATCACCGCCTCACCGGAATTGCGACTTCTTTAGTCGCTAATTCGCTACCGTCGCCACCATTTACGCCTGCCCATCATCGGGTCCGTCTCCACCGCCAATCTTTCCCCATCTTTTTCAGCCGGCGCCTCCATCTTAATAGTTGCGCCTTTTTCACCAATCATCCCCCTCTTCCTTCTTCATTTGGGATATTGCAAAGACGTATATATATATATATATATATGTATAATACACACACATATATATGTATATATATATATTATATCAAAGCCACGTCAACAAGTTAAAGATACAATATTTGAAACTGCCTCCTTTAAGTAAGGGTGAAATTGTCTTTTGCCTTTTCAGGTGACTTGATATGGTTAATTGCAACAAAATAATAGTTTTGAAGGGTTTTTTAGCAATTCAGGGGTTTTTTTACGTTTAACCCTAAAAATAATTGAATAAATTAATATATTAGTAAATTTTTGTAAAAATTTGTACATAAAAAAATGAAAATTATACATACATTTGTACAATAGTAAAGATTCTTAGAAAAATAAAAGAAGTTTTAGGATATCTTGATTTAAAGAAACATTTCTTCCCATGTCAATTCTCACCCTACGCAATCAATTTTGTATACTTCTTCTTTTTCTATTCTCTCTGACCTCCTCAATGAATCTGTATAGTTGGCGGAGGGTAGGACACCCATTACTTGTTGTACCCACTGCCTTCGTCTCCACATGAACCAACCAAAACCACCATTATTGTCATACCATCATGTTTTTGCAACATGCTATCTTGATTTTGTTATATATATATTAAAATGGTTTGTGATTCCAATTTTCACACTTCCAGTGTGAACTTGTAGCAGTTGGGAGATGAACCATATGCATATTGAGAGAGATCGATGTATATGAATATACTGTATACATAACTTTGTTTATGAGTTTATTCATAGAGGTTAATGGTGGAGGATTTGTTCATATTATGATAGTTAAGTGAATTAGAGCTTCCGGGTGAATCTTGGAGCTGGAGTGACCCCTGATATAAGAGTACTTATCCATAATGGATATATTTGTCATGATCTGTGTGTTGTGAATATGGATGGATTTTTCTAAATATAAAATAGAAAGACACATCTTTCTGTTTCCTTTTACTCCTCCCTCTTCTTTTGTCGTTTTACAAAATTATTGGCTAATAAATTGTAAAACAAGTTGATTTCCTATCATCAGTAATTAATTGTGATTCAACATGACCATTACATATTTCAAAATCAATACTTCTTTGCTCCAAAATAGTTGGGCACTCACAGCTATTTTGAGACGGAAAAAGTAATAGTAATATAAAACCAAATAGTTTTGAGGCATGAATGAAACTCTAAAATCATTTTAAAATCCTCCCAAGTACATAAAACCTG